TCTAAAGACAATATGACAAGAGTGTGATATCGCCAGAAAGATTGAATATGATTTATAATAATTATATTCTATCAATTACTATTTTTCACTGCGCAAGTCGCGTATGGACTCATATAAATACATAGAATAATTAAACACACTTTAGATATATATAGAAATGCTCTGTACTATGTAAGAAAGATACCCATAGATGCCAGAAATACTCTGCACAGATATGTAGAAACGTACAGGTGCAGACCTATTACTCCGCACGGCCCTCAAGCATCGTGTTTTTAATGACATATACAATATATATATGCCATACTTCACAACAAGTCCTATGACTCTTGATACGATAGGTGGGAATTCGCATCGAAGAAAGCTGGGGTAGCATGTGATCAATATAAAATGTGAGTTAACCGTTTTCGAGTTATCCAAGTTGTCTACCGCAATAGGCATCAAGAAACATGTCTCTGCTCCGTTGAGAGTTTAGCAGGTCGGATTGAATACCGAAATGAGAACTTAGTTATTATGCCTTCGTTGAAAATACTGCGGATGTGTAATGCCGTGACCGACCATAAGCGCTGATAGATGATTTTTAACCAGATAAAATCTACTGATGACAAGAGGTTTTTAGATTGAAAGTTTCATCTATGTAAGTATTCAGTAATTTCGGCATTTTTTGAGTTATCTTCTCCCATTACATGTTGTCTGACCTTTTGAACCTAGCTGGCCAGTCGTGTTCGGGCATATTTAGTCTCTTCATTGAGACGTACAATATCTCTTTTTTTTCTCGGTAGTGTTTTAGTCTTACATTTTTCGCAATCCTAACTGCAATTGAGATACCTGGACTCACGGGTTAAACGCTCGGGGCTGTCACTTTAAGCAACGTTTACTGTCGCCGAGATACCCACAGACTCAATGTAGTACCACAAAAATATTGCAAGGAAACAGAAATAAAAAGAATAACATTACTGCTAGTCTTGTAATCTAAAAAAAAATGATTTCTAAATGTCTTAACTTTGTTTTTAGTCAACAAATTGTCTTTAGTTGTGCCGTGTATACAATGCACCACCTAATCGTGTTGTGGTTAAAAGGTTCACCTCGCGTGTACCGTAGCGATCCTTCAAGCATAGTTGCTATATTTTGTGTAATGCTCCTTTTCTGTAAAAGGCTCTTACACCAATGTTCATCGCATTTACACCCTATTTCTAAATATAGCGGAGTATGTTACTCCAACATGCAGTAATAAAATGCTTAACCATGCGTACGGAGATTTGATTAGTGAGATATACAATTCTACTTGACACGTTCTGCCTCCCCTTCCCTTCCAAGAGCAACAGTCTCAGTCAGTCGATCCTCATCCCATCGTTATGGCTGTGGGCCCTTTGGCCTTTTGTGAGCTTTTCCCCCGTTTGAGCCGTTCTAGCCCCTTCACCCAAATGGTCGTATCTCTCACGACCTTCTGCAAATCGGCTTGCCTTCCTGTAACTCTACCGAGGACCGCGCTATTCAGTCCGTAGGATTCGGTCGACGCCATCAGGAGCACTCGATCTACCGAAAAAGGACCTGAAGGGGGATGGGTGAGCGCGGAGTGACTTAGGGGGAGAGAACCTAAGGGATTCAGTGAGTACAGCGGTGGTTTGGCATAGTGGCAACGGCAACGTCAAGTTTGCAAAGCCAAACCGGTGTGTGGATTCATCAAGAATTCACACCCCCCCCCCCTCCCGAGAAGGGCAGCAACCCCTAGGATTCCCGTAAGTCGTTTACCTTAGTTCTTGCGTGGTTCCATATACTGCCTCGACATCTAGATGCCGGAAGAAGGAACCCCATTTCCTGACGTTCAATATCTCGACATCAGCAAGCGAACGACGGAGAACGTAAGAGCAACTAAGAAGCAATAAGAAGCGAGTAAGCTAACCAAAGGATAGACACAGGGAGAAAGAAGGGATATGGGGTGTAGTAAACAGACCAAACGAGAGAGGATGAAAACGACAGGAGAGAGGAGACGCGCAGTGAAGGCCGGGATATAAAAACAGGCCAAGGTTTTGAACAAGCGCCATTTTGATGTCGAAACCGGCGAATATGGTCTGTTGCTCGCTACTAAGAACCTACATACGCACAGTAGTAACACATTCAGAAGTTTGCCGTGGTGGGCTAGGGCTGTCGAACAGAAATATCTATCTAACGATTAAGCGCATCCAATTGGTCGCGGAATATTGCCGTTCCTGTACTTGCTACGGTCGCCATGGCATTTTCTAAAGGCGTAATCGCAGCTACGCTAACGCTACGTGTACGCACACGTTTATATATAATAGAGTTGACAATTACATAGTGACATTGAAGCACTCACTTTACAGACGCTGAATTACTCCCATTGCCGATATTCACTGTCGCCAGCACTTAACAAGATCATAGTGCTACCGTTTACTTCACGAGGCCACCTTTGTCCTTGGATGGACAAATGGCCTGAATTGCTTGAAGTTAGTATTCGAATAATGTTGAACATCAACACTGCGAACCCGAAAGTGCTGCTCAAGGTACTAGTTTTAAAATCCATAATGTATCCATTTACTAGCCTACGCTAGAACATTTCTACAGGGATCTGCATCGAGCGTGTTCTCCACTATCCATAATACACAACAATGCTATTTAGCACAATAAGGAATTATCTCGTTTGTTTGATTCCTGTATTCAAAGATTCATTTTTAATCATATGACGCACAACCTCCACTTGTTATTGAACTTCGATAATTGTCTGAGTTGATTAAGCCGAGGCACATTTTCAAAAATATCCGTATGTACATATATAGAACAATGGGATAGTGAGAAGGTGATGCTAAAGTAAGCCGACTTTAAGCAATATGGCTCTAGCTGCTAATGGTGTATTATAAAAAAAGCTGGTGTTGTTAGTTAGCACCGTACGGCAATTCGATGTCTCTGCACAGAATGTTTATGAGCTAAAAAGTTTTGAAATAGGATCACAGTTCTTCGATAATACCGTAATATGTAATTTTCTAAACTATCTTGAGGGCAAGTCCAGTGAACCTATCAACGAGAAAGGCCCGTCTTCTTTTAAAACTGGTAAATGACGCTAGGCAGATGTGACGTTACTGTTCGTTATTTCCCTTTTGTCCTGAGCTATCCTGTAATGCTTGACCTGACTATGTAGAGCCTTTCAATACTGCAAACCAGCCGCCAATGACGAGGTGATGATCTGCGATGCAATTCATAACCGCACGACACGCACCAGCAACTACAACCGTACAAGTTACTATTAAATTGCGTTTGTAACTGTTACGGAAGTACGTAACGTATACATTCTCAATTTCGAAACAAGTGATAGCATTGGTGATAGGTGACAACATTTTAACTGAAACCCAGTAGCATTCTATTCTGGCTTCGAATGATCATTTTATGAATACATTCTGAGTGTTTTTGAGGGCCTCTAGTCTACAGAGCTGACCGCTAAGAGCGTCCTTGGTAAACCCTATCGGCCTCGGTCGATGTGGCCAGAATGCTTTGCTTCGAGCGGCTTCTATACAAACATACCATTCGTCCAATCTGGAAGAGCAAGGGAGCGAGATCTGAAGTAGCACAAGATTAATGCACTTAAGGGGCGGCTTCCTAGACGGTTTCTCTGCTGCGACTTAAGTTGGAAAACGGAAAATGTTAAGTAAGTAGCCCATTATTTCGATATGACAGATGTTCTTCGGAATCAATGAAAAAGAGTATTTGGTAAAAACTTTTTATCACAAATGAGTGTGCGTGTCGATCCTATAGCACGAACATCAGAGGAACGCGTCATCCTAGAGTGTATGTAAATATTAGATGACAAATGTAGTATCAATGAACAAAGGCAGGCCGTTGTACGAGCTGATGAAGATGGTGTTTTCTCACATGGGTCGCCCGGTGACGTTAATATATATGTTTGGGAGTAGTTGAGGGGTCCAAGTTCCATCCAGAAATTTCTTTCAGTTACTTCCAAGCTGCACCCGATACCAGCATTTGCGACAAGTCCGTTGAACCCATTTGTCTTTTTCGTGTTCCTGTATTTTAGCTCGATTTAGTAACACGCGCGAATCTCGATCCACGCTAGAAAAATATTAAAGCTGCTTAAAGAACCAAAAAACAGTATCCCTCTAAAGCCATACCTTTACAGGAAAACTTTTCAGGGGGACAGATGAGATTTTGGAAGCTACATCAAAACGCTCGTTACTTCGTGTTGTTCAGCAAACCAACGGCAGCACGTAACTTTGTATTGTTTTTAATCTGAGCGAATCATAAAAGGAGCCAGCCACGACCGTCTCTAATTCTAAAAAGCAAGCCGAATGATAACCATTTTATACACCCTACGTTTGAGTTTGTACAAAGTTTTTTATGCGCTTGTCATTCGCTGTCTAAGTCATTGATTGCTGAAGGCCTTGTAAGGACACAGAGCCTCCGATGCAGGCAAATGATCAAGCTAAGCAATATCGATTGACACACTCCAAATAGCAATGCGCTGTCGTCGGCAAATGGCTATCAAAATGTAAGACGATACATTTGCAAGCGAGCTACATTAACAATATAATGATTTCTGCAGACACAAAAAAAAAATTAAAAACTCCTTTAGCGATTTCTACTGTCATCCGGCCTTTACTTCCGCTAGCGCCTTCGAGCTCGTCATACTTATAAAATGCCTTCTTTCTTAGCTGTCCATAAATTTATCAAACAGTACGTGTTGACGTATAGTTACTGCTTATCGAAGTAGTATCTTCAAGATGCATTTCTTCAAGTTCATAAAGTTGCAAACGTACACAACAGTCTTCACCTGATACGTATTTTGACACAGAAAAAAAGCCTTAGTTAAATAGAGGCTCACAGATCAGAACTGATCGAGCTTTTCTCGGAGCGACTGCCTACGACATGTGAAAAAATCTAGAATTACATTTTCGTATAACAACGTTTTTTTGACAGTATTTATCAGGCAGTAACTCTGTAAGTGAACTATACAAAAAATACCTGTAGATGACGTAATTTATTTAAAGACCATTGTAACCGATATGGAAATCGATCGTATCCAGCTACGGCGAACTAGTCATCATTCAGTTGTCGTTTAAACAGAACTACAGTCATCAGGATTGATCAGTGGGTTCCGCTTTATCCAGGCTGTTAGACACAGACCAAAAGCTGTTGATGGCTGTAAACAACGTAAACGCAATACCGTTTGAGTGCATATATATATATATAGTGTAATCAATACTCGGGATATTATTGAACCCGATCATTTAATAAGCACCACGTATACCGATGGCTGTTTGTTTGACATTAATGCATAAGTAATGTTTAGTATTTTTTTTTCTTTTCAGGCTCTTTTTTCTCCAAATCGCAAAGCGTCCGTTTTTTTTTTTGTTTAGCTGCCTCGTTTATTCATCTGTTTATAGGTGAAAGAAACGCGGGGCCAGCTAAAAATGTTTGTTGCGCATACTATTGTTTACCTACAAAGGAATGCTTCGAGCGTTACGCCCAATTTTGTTAGTAGGCATCGCCCCAGAGAAGTGGTTCTATTTGACAATTATGTTAGTTCAAAAAGCGTCAACAAGTTGAAAAAGAGCCAAATAAAATGTGCTCTGTAACAAATCACTTTTGAGCAGTACTCTCAAGGTAGAATTTTGCAGTCTGCACAAACTAACTAGGGCAAACAAACATGCAAGCGGTGTCCGATACTACGATGCAACGACCTTTCCTGTCACGTTGTAACTATCCGCTTACGAAGGACTGAAGCCGCTGGATCCGATATAAACATTATTAAACAAAGTTTGCCTGGAAAATTAATAGATCTAGATCAGTGCACGCAGTTTTGAACATTCCGTTTTACACCTGACAATGGCAGACGATTACGTGGTAATTATATCTATGACTGCCGTTGGCAATGTAAGACAGTCTCAGTACTGTGCCTGTACTATGGCCTACGCGGTTGGTCCGCGTTTATAAAGAAAAAAAATGATAGAAAAAAATTAGCTCGAGTTCCTCAGTTAGCACTGAAGGCCATCTAAGGCGCTTTGGAGCATTCTCCACCTCACTTTTCAAATGGAAGAGACTGAAGATACGATGGTCCGAACACGAAGGTAAAGATAGCGTAAAGGCATTATAGAGTAACATAAATACATGTATTGTTTATGTGACGGCTCGCAAAAGCTGATTGAGTTAAATGATCTGCCTCGGAAGAGTAAGTTTGACGAGAGTGAACCAGTTTATCTTAATCGGAATAATTGTTCGCATACAAAAAATGCTATGGTACCAGCATGAGGATAAACGCAACTTGTAAGTTTCTCTAAGATTAAGTAAGGATATCATATGCTGAACTCACTTTCTCATTAGGTCACTGGCTGTTCCGCGTCTACCGTGTTTGTTTCCCTTCGCGAGTGCAGGACGATGGCCTACACACTACGTTCCTACTGGAAGGTAAGGAAAACAGCGTGGAATGGCAGCAAGAGCCATCCACCTCTAAGAGAACATACCTTTTGCCGTCTAAGTGATGTCCGAAAGGAAAGCCCATCTACTTTGTCTTTTTTCTCTTGCCCTTTTCTACGGCCGATCGGTTGCATTTCGAACAACAGGCCTATCTACTTAGAAGCCGTAGATCGCAAGACTGTCAATTCTCGAGAGAATTGCTGCAGGGAAGCACCTGACGTGCGTCCTACTGGACAACGAAACGTGTTCTATGCTTTCTTAGCGGAGCAGTTTCGATATTGGTTAGGCTGATTCTTTTTCCAGTAATGGACCAAGCTGGGTTTACAATTGCATGCGGACTAGTCATTATCGATAAATAAATCAAATCGAGCTGATAACTAAGGAATGAATAAGGGTAAATAGATTTGAATACTTCTTGATGCAAGCACAGTACCCTATTCTACATGGGATAAGTGGAAAATCTATTGCAGAGTATTCTACGGCAAACAGATAATCAGATGCAACAATAACACATGACCCACACTACTTATATTGGTTTCTTTTTCATTGAATATAGACTCAAGGCGATCCTCGATAGAGCTGCACAACAGTATGAACCAACGCCTGAAGAAATCTTATAGGCACAGGTCTCATCGTAAGTATGAGCGGTTTAACAAAAAGGTTAAGTAGAAAACGAGTGGCTCAACGATACAGGAGCTTAAACTTGGTCGTCCTGCGTAAGCATTCGACTGTAACAAGAAACAGTCATAATATCCAAATACGGGACAACTTGAAAAAAGACTTCATCGGCTTTTTTCGTCAAAATGAATAATGGCTGCTATTACGATATTGAGAGTGGGGTACAGCTCAGGTGATGCTTGCGCTCATATTGTACCGTCTCAGAGTATTTCTACTTAGCTTCAATGACGTTCATTCGATCATATCACATATCAGCATGTACTGATACTACCGAAAACGTACGGGACTGAGTGCTGTTGTTCCCGAGCTCGCAGTTTTCAAATAACTATTTAGCTTTAGATAGATATGTGGTCAGTGGAATAAGCGGGGATCAAACATGACGGGAGTTCAAATATGACATCTGATAAACATTTCAGCAGCACCAGCCTCGAGCAGGAACAGCGTACATGGTAAATGGCTGTTTGTTACAGAATAAACATCATGCAATCAACGACACGTAATACAACAAATGCGTCAGCCGTAGCATAAAATAGCGATAATTAACAACGGCCATTTTGGGCACAGATCCCCGTAGACCACTTAATGTGGGATGTCGCTTGGGTTGTCACCTATAACCGACGTAGTTGATTGCAATAGGACCTAAATGACCTATTTATTAATATAGGGTAAATTGTTGGAAGGTACCTTGTGCGGTTGCGCGTTCTTGACTGTGACTTTACTAAATCAAATGTCTGCCCATTTGTCTCTATTATCTCAATTCGACTAGGTAATGATTTGCGCGAAAGACCTGTTCTTCCTGTTACAGTTAAATGGGGTTCGATAGCGATCCGTTTACCATGCCGGTTCACTCTTTAAAGCCATAACGATATAACGAAAAACAACGAAAGAATGATATTTACTTGGAACATTCTGTCGTATCTAGAAGCGTCGTTCTAAAAACACTTAGAGCCGTCACACGATCAATATTCAGAGACAATTTTAGTATAATATTAAAACATAACGGAATCTCCTGGCGTTCTCGGCCACTTCTTCGTGGACCAGTGTTCCACTGTAAAAATAACTTAGAAACATGCAGCTAACTTAACAGTTATAAGAATATTTTACACAAATGCCTTCGTAAGCGAACAGTGTCGCCGCCCGGTGCAGCGGCCATACACTTAGATGGAAATAATCGGGCATTTTTTTACGGTGTACATTGGCGTATGTGTATAGGTTAAGCACGACGTCTAGCGGTGCTGGTAAGCATCCCAGAAGTTGGTGACCCGATCGACCCTTTCGATAGCGGATGCATACACATGTACATAACGCATCGTGCAGACCTTAACGGATCCTTTCATTGGAACGTTGATAAATGTATTTCTTGTGTCTTTACATTTCCATTAGACTGGAATGAAGACAGAGTTACCACAACAGAAGTGCTATTCGTTTTCGCCGGTGACATCAACGGGAATACGAAACTTCCCTGCACAGTATAACTTATCGTGTCATAAAGCAACAAAAAAACAATACGCAACGAAAGCTGTCTAGCTCCGCTAGCGAATAAACATCAAACACAAAAACTTGCAAGGCTAAATTATCTGTTAATTTTTATAGGTATCCACAAGAGTGTGCTTGCAAAGAACGTCCTCAAAGTGTATTTCCGGCTTCTATATATATATTTGTTTATTCTGTCGTTCTTACATTCAAATAATTTGTCCGCCTAGGTGGATTTTCTAATAACGTGCTAACTGGCTGAAGCAAGTCATCAGAATATATTTAGAATATTATTATTATTATTATTTAAACTGTTACTACCGAAGCTAGAGGTTTGCGATACATCCTTTTGACAGCTGCCGATCGTTACATAGTCCATCTTAAAAACAGTGACATATTTTGGGCATCGATTACCCTAGCATGCTTCCCCTGCCATCCGACTTTCGCTTGTATGCAAATCATTCCGTGATATCTTGCTCGCCCCTTCATTCTGTCACGAAATGCCCGTGTATTTACTAACTGATCTGTATATCTTCTAATTATTTTAATAATCACGAGAATCGCACACGGGAATATCAAGTAGTTTGTTGGCTAACGCTTCCTGATATGTTGATGTCTTGACGTCAGCGCGGCAATGGTGCAGTGGAAGATAAGCTTAACTAGCCATCAGCACAAGGGCGGATCCACCAGAATCCAAATGCAATGGTGATTAGCGATAATCATGATAAGAGAAACGGCTTGGCAGGCACGTCCTTGTCCCGACCGGCCTGCGGCAGAAGCAACCCCAGCAGTAAAATATATTAATGCTATCTAAATACAATAATACTATCCGAATCGTGGCCGTCTTTTACGTTCAGCTATTGTCTGCGAGGCAGTGTAATCGTTTTGTTACTGTAAGAGCAAAGTTAAACTGTAATGAGAGGAGATAACCAGTGCTTTCGAAACAACGATCATAAACAAGTTTAGATGCAATTTTCGTTTGTGTATCTTGATCCCAATGTACAACTTTTGTCTATATATCAGATACGTCCAGCGGTAAACGCCTTATCAGATGAGCTACCTATCGCTGTGATTGTTTTGGTTGAACTTTACGGCAAGGATCGCCTGCGAAAGTAAAGGCTCTCAGTGTGTGAAAGGCAGATCATCGCTTAGGGAATGGTCATCCTTCAAGTGCAACTTTCACCCCCGTCTGCCTGCCTTCCTCCATCATTCTGGCTGGATCGCCATCGATCGATCGATCTTTATTCCATTTTCGACGGTCCATTTTCATTCTTCTAACTTTAGATTTGGGAGCGACATCGTTGTAGCAAAGCAATATGGCACTGTGGCCCTAGACGAAAGACACATTGACGTTGTGTCGACAACGGCGTCCCCCGGGACCATCCCCGGACTCGATCCGCGACAGTTATTAGTAAATAATTAACTCGGTATTTTAAGACAAGGCGATCGTTATCGTAACTAAAATATAGCGAAACAAGTATCAGAATATAGTTCTTATATATCCAATAGTCCAATATATCCAAACAATATATACACATTAGTGTTGAACTCTAAGTAGGTATTGTTGTCAGTGTCGCGCGGCTTTGATTAAGCCCTTAGACGCTGAGGTGCATGAGGTCATGCAGCGATGAGATGAACTCAAGGCGCTAGCTGATCTCAAAGTTCATGTTTATTCATCGGTCCGTATACATTTGTGACATGCGTACATTGTGAGGGTCAGACTTGCATCTCATGAGATGTACTCATAACCACCTTTATAACTGTGACTCGTTTGAAATTCAAATCCAGATGTATTGCTTTCATTTGCTATTCATTTAACTGCTAGTGAAGGCCAACATTTTGTAACCAAGTCCATTGGCAGGAGCTTAGGTTTCGCTTAGTAGGCCCTGTGCTTGTTTACTGTACACAGACATTTAGACAACCTCAAATTTTTCGCAGTAGGATAGTCAGGTCAATCTAGCACAAGCTACAATGGCTTTGTTTCGACCGTGTGTAGTTTGAGTGTAATTTTGATGTTTATAGGTCTAGTTAGGGATAACTAATTGTATTGTACAATGCAGAATCTGTTTCTGGAATCCGTAGAACCAGCACCCCACAGTAACTCCTTATTCTGCTCTATCCTTACCTGACACAGCACCACCTAGGTAACTATATACTACCATGACATGCTATCGTTCTTACTTCTTCTACTGCGGCTTCTGCTGTTGCTCTCGCTGTTACTAGTCTGAACGGCAGCACTAAATGGAGGAGCATAGAGACTGACTAGATGATCTTCGAAAGCTGCCGGGGACGAGGCTGTTTGACATCGTGCACTGTCCGGTAGCCCTCCCGACGAATAGAGTTTCGCCTCAGGCTGTTGGCCAAAAGCTTCCTTCCATGATGATCCCTCGTTGGGAGAAGCCACTGGATCTTAGATAGCGAGGCAGACTATACTGTTGGAGAGGTTCCCTGCCCCCGATGTCAAAGCGACAAGGGGCATGACTCAGCAAATGATCCAGGCATTTCCCTCTCGGTGTCCGTTAGTAAAATGAGTCAAATACGATGATAGTTTAGGAGGACCGTCTTCACGAGAGGGACACATCGTAAGGCTGAAAAGAGACAGCCTAACATTTTCATAGAGTCTACCCGTGCGGGTCACGCTCAAGCCATTTGGTACAAGTATTGCTGACGAGAGTTATTCAACACGCAGGAAAATGTCCAGAAATGCGCTACCAAAAACCAGACTGTTAGAGATTAGACGCAGTGAACGAATTGTATAATAGGTACAGATGTTGTCTCTGTATGCACAAGTATCGTGTGCTATCAGTTAAGCAAGCTCTGCACAACTCTGATTTCTGCTCTGCTAATCAAATAGATCGCCATTGTACACAGACAGTTTGAGGCAACCGAACATCCTGTAATGTAAAGCATAAATATAAATTCACACAAAAACTAGTCCGGCAAACAATCGAATATTGGCACCCCTGCCAGCGATAGATAAAATCTAGTAACGTACAAACAATTTCTGTGCAAAACTGGAGCTTTAGATTCCGGATGTTTGTTCGCCTGTTTTTAAGTAAGTCGCTTAATTTTTCTATAAATCTAATCAGATATTTGACAAAAACTGAAAAAGTCTATCTACGAAACAAATTATCATAACGGTATCGCTTCTAACTTACGAGATGCCCAATGAAATAAGTTGATTTGAAAGGAGCCCTTTACTTCTCGCCAATATGTCGAATATTAATGGCTTGACAAGACCGCATACATAAAACTTGACACTAACAACTGTTGAAAAATTAAATAAACTTGCGCCTATTACCAGTGCTATAGGAAGCCTCAATGCTTGGCAGTGTGATCAAGAAGAGGACTTGCGGAGAAAGCGGTTTTTTGCCTGAAGCGCAATTTTCTAATTTGACCTATTACTTGAAACTTCTTAACTTATCGACGAACTGTGCAGAATTCTGTTCTACAACACTATCGTCCTCTTTTTTTTATAATAAGCGTTTGGTAATAACGAGCATTCGCACGCAGCCATTGCAAAAATAACATGTGGCACCCTTCCGATCAAATCGCGTGTATTGTTGCGCTGTCAGGGTTGACAGATGACTAGATAGAGTTCAATTAAATTGAAATGTTTTTACGCGCGATAATAAAGCTAAAGGTATACGAATATAGTTGGTTCTGTGTTTCTCACGCCGTCAGACTGCCGGTTAGGATGGAAAATCTGCCAGTCTGTATTCCTTGCCCGATTTGTCCGAAATAATGAGATACGTTATTTTTTAATACACGTCATGGATCACCGAGCTGCACAGATCGTACCGAAAAGTCTAGATTGATTATAGCTATGAATTTGCTAAGTTAACTTAGTCTTGGGGATTTTAGCTAGCCGCCATATTATGCATAGGTTGTCGGCACATCAGAATGCGGGCGTTCGAAATGTCTGTATCTTAGTATATTCTGCAATTTAACGCGCTGGGCGAAGAGCTCTAATACTCTTTTGATGAGACATATGAAGGTAAAAAAGTGGCCATATAGCAGTTATCGTTAGGCTAATTAATCCTGTTACGGTAATAATGAACATACTACGATTCAATGTCGTACAAAAAATACGTTTAGCGAAATAGCTTGCTCTGAGAGCGAAAAGTATTTCTTGTATAAAAAATATTTTTGACTTTTCATCCCGCTTAGTATAATACTAGCACCTACCATAATAGTGAGTGACGATAAGAGGTGACGACTGTCACCTGCAAGATAACACTTCGATCGTCGCAACGCTGTCCGTGACCATTGCAACAAACGTCACGTCTTGCGCGTTTCTTCATCCATAAGAAGCACAGACATCGCAGACCCACCATCTCACTGATCCAATAAACTGGATAGCCAATAATCGATAAAAAAAAAAAACCATGACAAAGAGTATTTTACAGTAGGGTGCCTGCTCTTTGCGGGTTTCTCGACCGGGGACCAAAAATGCGCCCAGGTGAAATGTTCGTACGTGCACCTCACGGTTCGGGTGTTTGATATGTTGCAGGTCGAGGCCAAATGTAGCAAACTGGTTGAAAGCTTTGTCTTCATACTCTAACATGAAACTTAGACCATACAGTTATTGTAGTACTTACCCGAACGCGAGATAAGCCACGATTTGAAATACACATGCACCCATTTAGACAGGTAAACATACTAATTAGTGACTGCACGACAGTGGCAGTAGTCGGTACTCCGGTTTCCTCTACCTTCCAACTAATTGGAATTGATTAGCGAACGGAAGAAAGTCTGCTGGCAAGGGACTAAATGTCTCAGCAGCAACATTGGGTTCGCTCTATCGATGTTATTAATGTTGTTTATAGATTCTTGTTGACGAAGCGAACAAGTCGTAAGAGGTCTACCCGTCCCGAATCGTTGCCGGGCCATTCGACATTGCACGCAATCGGAATTTACGAAAAAAAAAAAACAAGAACTAATTGTCCGCACTTATGTAATAATAGTGGCTGTATGGGGTTGCTGTTTACCGTAATGGTTGCCCCGTACAGATTACACATAGATGATGACGCGCTAACTAATTATATTAGTCGTGTGTTTCTCACATTTGGCTATGACAAAACCGATAGCAAGCTAAGGCACACTGCTGCTGCTGCTGCTGCTGGCACAATGGATCGTTTCGAACACATGTTATTAGTTTGTAAACGCCATCTAAGAAAACTAACAAAAACTGCAGACATGTGCCATCTTGCAAAATGAACCGTTGCCCTTTATACACTCACGCTGAATTTCGGTTTGTCTAGTAAAACATATTTCTGTAAAAAGATGAATTAGACATTCGAATAAAGCGAGCTAGCTAGCTCAAGGTCGCAGGTACCGTTTTGCTGTTGTTTCACGTTAAGAAATAAAAAAAACATTAATTTGAAAACTTTGCAAAGAATAACACACCTGGATATATGGACACTATTTATGTTACGTGACTTCTGCAGTTAGATGTCACCTCGTCCTATTAACGGAGGCACTTTAGCGTATTTTAATAAAAGTGGGATAACTTTAGTTATTATGACTCTTATATATATTCAATTGTTTTTGTACTAGGATGCAATCACCATAGCAGCGGTCGTAATTGTCTGCTGTATTACGTAGGATACTTGATGTATGACTGGGCTCGGAAGTAATATGTGCTTACTATGTTTTCGGCTTTCAATGAGGAACATCGCTGTTCACTCGTCAAAGGCAGATTCTGTATTTGCCATAATTTTCTTCTTTCTCCCTTGTTTAATTAATTTTTTTCATCTCTTTCAGAAACCTTCACCCTGAATCTACGGGCTGCGCCCATCCAATTTTTAAAATCTTTTTAACTGTCATATGTGTTGTTTATTTAGCTAGCGGTTAAACAACATGGCAATCGATCGGCACAGGGTCTGGAGAATATGATGGGCTTACAGGACGATTTTAACGATCTCTGCCATGTGTCTGATTGGGTGACTGTGAGCAATGTTATAGCATGTGGCTCTATTTATCTCTGAACCATACCACCTGAATTTCGGTGCGTTTAAACAACATTGTCTTAGAAATATAGAAAATCGTTTTTGTTGAAGGCGTTAGAGGGCGTCTGATCCGCTGCTGCGTTTCGCTGGAGCTCTATATATACTCAGCAAAAGATTTGATGCTTTTAGCTCCAAAGCAGTGTAACACATTCGGAAAATTAAGAAGTGATTAACTCAATCCGATTTTACAGGCGTTGCATTAGTAGATCCTAATGAAAAGCGAGCGCAAAATTATCTCGACAGCCGTAGAAGCAGCCCAAATTGATTGTATGTCATCGTATTATCTTCGTATCAGGTACGATCATCGTACTCTTATGAATGAGTACCTAATTTGGCCAATAGGCCAGCGATCGGAGCATGCTTATTAATAAAGCTAACCGTAACTGTATTTTGTCATAACATCGGGTAAAACAACAGTATATACACACATATATATATATATATATATATATATACATCGGCGTTTTCGTCGCTCTGGCTACAAGTGTTGAAACCGAAATGTTTAGTAGCTAGTTCAAACGATAAACAAATTTGTGCCCTTTTAGATATGCAATGACAGAGTTAATTTTATAATGCGTATAGCGAAAAGAAGTGTGTATGATCAAAGTGGCCCGTTATATCCCTGAAATCAATGGTTTATCTCTATTAGTCAAGTTGCTTCTTGGCTTATACTTTAAAGGTATAGAAGTTCCGGAAACAAACCCCAGTTAACTTACTGTTATACAAATATGGAGTAAATGCACATCTATTTCCGACATTGCTTGCACAGGGAGCCCTTAAAACACAAAAAAAAAAACGTTTTAATCATTTTTCATCTATATGTTTAGGTAGAGCGCTTCGAATATAGAAATGAAAAAAGGGCCTAGAGATGGCTCTCTAGGCTTTTTCTCTCGGAAACTTTACTGTAATGCTCATGAAGCTATTGTAAAATTTTAACACGATATTTTAACGTTAGAGACCATGATATCGGTAAAGAACAGATTGAAAACACTTAAAAGCGTGCTACATAGTAAGATCGATGTTTGTGTACGACACAGATTGACGCAGACGAACTTGCTTGATCGTATCTCGATTTGCGAAGATCTAGTAGAATTCAATAAGATTGGGCCATTTTACAGGTAATGAAAAATGAGTCACATACAACAATAAGGTACGAACAAAAAAACGTGCCTCACAGTCTTCACCGAAGCCCAGATTGACGCCAAAGAAGGTGATGCTATGTGTTTCGTAGAACTGGAAGATAATCGTGCGTTAGGAGTTATTGTCGCCCAGCAAAACGTTTCATTCGGATTTCGACTGTGAACAGCTAACAAGATTACGACAAGCCATTGCAAAGAATTCTCCAGAACTAGGGAACAGAAGAAGCATCGTCTTTCTTTATGACTATGCCAGACCACGTGTATAATTAATTACCGGGTAAAAATTTAAAACATTTCGCTAAAATATTTAAATGCATCCGGCATCATCTGTTTGATTCCTTGTAGAACTTTCTTCATAGTGTTAATTTAGCTTCAACAGAGGGATGAAAAAATGACCCGTCACTATTTTTCGTCGAAAAACCACAGAAGTTCTACAGTGACGGGGATTATGGTCTTAGCAGAAAAATTGCACGACAAAAAGTCTATGGATCGAAAAGGCGCACACTTAGTTTAACAATAGTGTTTTAAAATACAAAAGATACTTGTTTCGATCGAAAAAAACGCTCAATACATTTTCAACCACTTAATATGTATGTATGTATGTATGTATGTATAAAAAGAAAGGAGTGGGGAATAATATTTGGCTTCCAGTCTAGCACAAATTTTCCTGTTTTTTTTTTTGTTTGCTAGATGGATGACGACGCCTATCCAAAACATGAGCCTCTGGGGGTTTTCACGGCCCTCGCCCGTATTGTTGTGTTGGTTTCATCCGCGCAAACAGCGAGCGACAGATGAGTCGGCATAGAGGGCAGGGCGGCTTGCGACCTGTAATGGCTGATGTCGCTTTCGAAAAATACAACACTTAGTTAAAAAGGAACGAAGAATTTTTTTTGTAGGTTTAAGTGAGCTCCGTTGAGGAAAACAGATGAATGCAAGGCGATCGACGTGAAGTTAGTAAAGGTAGAGTTTCTTAAATAGCTAGCTCAGCAATCTCCAAATGCTTACCCCATTACGAAATGACTAAAATTAAAATAAGGCGCTGAATTACACGATTATATATTGCAAATAGGAACGATGGCAAAAGATGTCTATTAGTAATGTTCATTTGTAATTTGTGAAAGTGGAGTAGAAGTTCATTTTAAGCCCGTCTGATTTCTACATTTCAAAGGACGTGACGGAAAAGGAAGCTAATTCTATCAAAGCAGACATTTCGACAGTTGTTACTGACAATATTCTTCCATAGCGTAACCTAAATAGACGTATTTTACGTCCGGTCGGCTCTGTGACCTATTCCTAACATGAAACTTGTATCACCAGTAAAAGTTTCCCGAGCGCTTAATACCTCTCGAATCTGCCGTTGAACGGAGAAGCCGTCAACGGCTGATAGAGCGGTTGCTGTTCGGTGTTTACGGCTGACAAACTAACATATAGCAGCTAACTTAGTCTCCCAGCTAATAATGTTGTTACGGTATCCGTCAATGTTATCATACGTCACACCCCTTTCCATCTAGCAACCCCACGTATTCCTTGTCCAAATATGCTAATGGCTTGTGCTGTGCGACATGCATCGCACGTTAGACGACAGATAATAATAAATACTACCATATACGCAACGAGAATTGGCATTCTAGTTCACTGAAAATTATTGGATCGTTGTGTACTTTCATAGAACACCTACTTACAGGTTTATATCAATTTGTATCTTCGTTAGCTGCCCGCGTTTGAATATAGGCATTCGCGATTCTTTGCTATAATGAAGACAAACCCATATCTTATTAGCGAAGATATTTTACGATTGTATAACGTAGTGGACCAACAGGAAAAGACTCAGGTTAATCGTTACTGCTGACCTAATTAGCGCTCCTACATCAATACAACAGATACAATGAGCGCTACCCACACACGGCCGTAAAGGTCGTATTGTCCTAAACGGGTCATAAGTGGCGTCCTTTCTCCGTAGGCGTGTAGTCAATTTAAGGACGTTGTTGAGATTTGAGAGATTAAGCAAAATATACAGGGATATTTGTAATGCCGAACACTCTAAAATTTAAAAGGAAAGATACCATGCTAAATATTTACGTACTACTGTATATGGTTGGAATACATTGCGGGGGTATGGGGCAATGCTCGTCCTGCAGTGGTCAACGGATGCAATTGAATGCCCGGGTGGAACATTGTACGTCATAAACTGAGGGAACAGCTTGGGCTTTTCATGAGTTATCCCTAAAAAAGTTACTGTCTCTGGTTTGAGGCAGGCAATGCCAAACCAATATTCCACGTTAGCCATATAAATTTGACCGAAACGCTGCGATTTACCTATTTACAACGATAATAAATGCACTGATACTAGTGCGCACTTCCGGCCGCAAGTGCCAGTGCGTGCACGCAGAAAGGACATGCACGTCAGGCATACTCGTACGTAAGGCTCCTTTGACACTCCTCATTAGAATGGATGTTACGATATATTTTTGCCTGGATGAATTGTATTAGTCACCATGTCGTTAAATAATAATAGAGTAAAAATAACGCATCCCCACTGAAATTGCACACGTTCCTGGGCCTCGGTTTAGCTTAAAATAAAAAGGCATATTAATTAATATTAAAGAGTATGAATTTTAGGCGTTTTGGTGCCGATTGGCCTCGTCGACGTGCATTGAATTGTAAACGATTACGTAGCTCATATATGCACAATTGTGCGTACGTTAGGTATCGCATATTAGGGACGACACAAGCTCTATGTGA